CACTCCCAGATGACCAATAGCAAAACCCTATAAACAACTCACCACAACAATTTCTTCTTACTATACCCACAGAACTAGAAAAGAAGAAAAAGAAGAAGACACGGAAGAGAAGAAAGAAGAAAAAATATTGCATCTCTGCAAGAAGGCAACAAAGAAACTAGTGAAAGAGTAGAAGTTGTAAATGAGAGCAACAATTACCCTTTAGTGACTGTGCAGTGCCTTGTACTTAGCCTTAAGTTTTCTTTTCATTCCTGTCATAAAGTTTTCTTTGTAAATATGATGAGAATAAATGATATTAAGTTTTCCAACATGTATTAGTTGTTTGGTATATTTGACAACATTTTCCAGAGGCAAAGAGATCATTGAGCTATAATAAATATGTTACAGATAATAACAATTTTTGTTTTGGTCATCATGGTCATTAAACAAATATATTCCCCTCATTATTTGTTTCTTAAAAACTCTAACAAAATCATTTTATAAATCAAAGCTCTCTTTCTAAAACTATCCTTTTTTCTGCGTCGTGATAGAAAGATTGGTAATCCAAGACCAACCGAAGCAATCTCATCTCTGTAATAATCTGGAAAATTTTCTGAAACATTAACATGTAAGAACATTTTTTTGTAGCGAAGTTAGATTTCTTATTTTAATTTGTATTTATTTTGATTATATCCCTGAGATAAAAAGATGGTTTACGAGGAAAAACTCATTTTAAGAAAGAAATTATCATTCATGTCTTTAAGATCGAATATCCTATAAATACAGTCTTCATTAAAGAAAAAAAAAACTAAAACAGCACAGTATGATAAAATATTCCTTGCATTGACACATGAAGTTTCAGGAACATTTGACCTTTATTTTTCAAAATTTATATCTTTGAGATGGTTATAATTTCTGCCATCCCTCGTTGTGGAGGAATGAAGTAACCTTAGGGAAGTGGAAGCTTTGAACTTTATTCGATACACATATTCAATGCTTTTTTCTATGTGCTGAAATATATGCTACCAGCCATATAATAATATTGGTTAAGGCCTTCCCTACCCGTTTACCATACCAAGACATAGAAAATAGAACTTACCTTAACGTATTGTACGAATATCTCAGCGCTAACCTTCCGACCCTACAACAACCTTGGGATCAATATTTGTTTCTGGGCAACCGAGCTCGAAATAGGTGACTCGAGCTCGAAAGCCTATCCGAGCTCGAGTCACAACTCGACTAGAAGGATCCTGAGCAACCGAGCTCGACATAAGTGACTCGAGCTCGAAAGCCTACCCGAGCTCGAGTCACAACCTTTGTAATCGAGCTCGAATCAAATCGAGCTCGATTTGGTAATCGCGCTCGAATCAAATCGAGCTCGCGTCCAACCGAGCTGAATAATATTTGTTCCCGGGCAACTGAGCTCGATATATATTTTTCTGGCAGGGGGAGGGGGAAGTGCAGACCATGCTCGATATAAGACTATCAAGGGGAAGAGATAATATTAAAAACTATGGTGAAGAGAAAAATTTAAAAAAATATTTGGTTTTTCCTGTTTCAAAGCTAGCGAGGACATGATTTCCAGCCGTGTGCCTAGTATGGGCGGGGGTGGGGAAAGGAATAAGGGGGGGTGGTGGAGGCGGGTAGAGGGAAGGGGGGGTTTAAAATGATGACTTCTTGAATTGAAAAGGATTTCTGTATGTCTATAGCTTGCGTGACTGAATGTTTTTTTTCGTTCAAGGAAGATTTATGCGGCTGAGCGTTAGTTTATTCCTTCACATTCTCTCCGTTACTTCGCCGCTCATTCGCGCGGTTCTGTCACCCAAAACTTCCACCAGAGTGTAAGTTATGCAAGCGTCGTCATCCCCATATCCTTAGTTTGTTTTTCATGGTCAGGAAGCCTATAGATCTGCTCAGAGACAAAGCTTTACATTCAGTTAAAAAAAAGGTTACATAGCTTTGGCCAGACTGATATGTCTCCATGCGATTTCTCTTTTCCCAGAGTATAAATAGGTAGAGATCTGTGTGGTGGGGCAACTGCAGGCTTAAACGATGGGTCGACCGGGGTTGTTGGGTTTGTGATTTTTTGGTTAAAAGAAAAAAAGAAATGCGCACTGTTTGAAGATTTGTGATGATTAAATTTGTAGCAGTTTTTGTTTTGCTAGAAGGCCGTTCGTAATGCTTTGGATATTTTTTGTTCTCTGTAGGTGAGATTTTCTTAAAGTTTTGCATAAAAATAGGTTTCAAAAAGTTGACGCTTCTCTTTTGTTGAGGTCGGCCCGCCAAACGACCACAGCGCCGGCTTTGTCGACCGCTTTAATAACTATTTTTTGGCATTTTATAAGACTTTAAGCGCCGCCCAAGAGATGTTGAAAATTTTGTTGTTCCGATTGAAATTGCATGACTGCATATGCACCAGACTATTTGAAAACAGAGGAGATATATCTCGCAGGACAACTCGTAGCTCTCGCCTTCTAAACATCCTACTTTTTAAAACAGCATTTGGACAGAGAACAATTAATTATTGAATGGTTTCCTCATGCAACCAGTTGGACGATTCTTTTAAACTTTGTTACTCAATCTAGATTTTAAAAGCAGATTAAGAAGTCAGCACCTGGAACGGTTCTTGTGGTCCTAGTCCTTAAGCTTGCAATCACCAGCTTTTTAGACATCTAGATCTAAAATTTTTACATTATACATTGAATTAAAGCTTGCAACAACCAAATTTTTAATGTTAAACTCTAACCACCAGATTTACATGTAAGATTAAAATTGTCCATTTTTTTAAAGTAACTTAAAACATGATGAGGGGGGAGGATGAAGTGCAGATCATGCTCGATATAAGACTATCAAGGGGAAGAGATAATAATAAAAACTATGGTGAAGAGAAAAATTCAAAAATATATTTGGTTTTTCCTGTTTCAAAGTTAGCGAGGACATGATTTCTAGTCGTGTGCCTAGTATGGGAGGGGAAAAAGAATAAGGGGGGGAGAGGGGGTGGTGGAGGCGGGTAGAGGGAAGGGGGGTTTGAAATGGTGACTTCTTGAATTGAAAAGGACTTCTGTATGTCTATAGCTTGCGTGAATGAATGGTTTTTCGTTCAATTAAGATTTATGCGGCCGAGCGTTAGTTTATTCCTTCACATTCTCTCCGTTACTTCGCCGCTCATTCGCGCGGTTCTGTCACCCAAAACTCCCACAAGAGTGTAAGTTATGCAAGCTTCGTCATCCCTATATCCTTAGTTTGTTTTTCATGGTCAGGAAGCCTATAGATCTGCTCAGAGACAAAGCTTTACATTCAGTTAAAAAAAAAGGTTACATAGCTTAGGCCAGACTGATATGTCTCCATGTGATTTCTCTTTTCCCAGAGTATAAATAGGTAGAGATCTGTTTGGTGGGGCAACTGCAGGCTTAAACGATGGGTCGACCAGGGTTGTTGGGTTTGTGATTTTTTGGTTAAAAGGAAAAAAATGCGCCCTGTTTGAAGATTTGTGATGATTAAATTTGTGGCAGTTCTTGTTTTGCTAGAAGGTTGTCACAGTGCTTTGGACAGTTTTTGTTCTCTGTAGGTGAGATTTTTTTAAAGTTTTGCATAAAAATAGGTTTCAAAAAGTTGACGCTTCTCTTTTGTTGAGGTCGGCCCGCCAAACGACCACAGCGCCGGCTTTGTCGACCGCTTTAATAACTATTTTTTGGCATTTTATAAGACTTTAAGCGCCGCCCAAGATGTTGAAAATTTTGTTGTTCCGATTGAAATTGCATGACTGCATATGCACCAGACTATTTGAAAACAGAGGAGATATATCTCGCAGGACAACTCGTAGCTCTCGCCTTCTAAACATCCTACTTTTTAAAACAGCATTTGGACAGAGAACAATTAATTATTGAATGGTTTCCTCATGCAACCAGTTGAACGATTCTTTTAAACTTTGTTACTCAATCTAGGTTTTAAACACAGATTAAGAAGTCTAAAATTTTTACATTGTATATTGAATTAAAGCTTGCAACAACCAAATTTTTAATGTTAAACTCTAACCACCAGATTTACATGTAAGATTCAAATTGTCCATTTTTTTAAAGTTACTTAAAACATGATGTTATTGATTTTCAATTGTATAATTGTCTCTTTAAAACTCTCTTAGGGATGTGTCACTGAAGTTAATTGTTTATTGTTCATTGACTTGAAACTATCTTTGTTCGAGTTGTTAAAGTCCTCATTTGGCTGAACCAAACCTCGAGCTCATCTTCTCTGTTCATGACCACCTTTTGTAGCTTCCTCAGAGGCTTGTCAGACAACTATGTTTTTGTTATTTTCTTAAATAAAATAGCAAAATTATTCATCTCCTACCTGCTATTACTAAACTGTTCGCATTATCTCATTCTCGGGGGCGTGACATGGTCATTTGCGCTAATTGGCATAACGGAAATGCGACATTATATCACCATGGTGATGAATCCCAAGTAAAGGTTTATTAAGAATCCATAACTTACTTGACGTGTCATTTTCATTTTGCTCCGGTGACGAAAAATTTACTGTGTGCAGTCCTTACGTCGATTTTCCGATTTATACCTACAATGTCTGGCCTAAGTTCCTTTAACGTCGCAACCGAGCCTGGAGATGTCCTGGACCAAAGCTTACTATGTCCGATATGGTAAGGCTACTTTTTTCCTTTTTGAATTTGGAGTTCTGAGTCATTCGGTGTTCGAGTTTTGGCATTTCAATTTCGAGTTAAATGGAACATTGCGAGGAAGGAATTAACGAGAAACGCTCTATGAAGGCACAAATCGTTGTAGTTTTATCTGAACCTAACCCACCAGAACTTGAACTAGACTGGCAAGTATATTGTTAAAGAAAGATGTTATTCAAATTGGAACAACAACAACAATAAAAAGCTACTATCAAAAATTCTCAACAACGAAAAAAAGCTACCTGCAAAATTTCTCGGCTACTCCAAACGATTTCATCTTTGGACTATGGCACCGTTTGCTTTGACTTGTTACGCATTGCAGTTCAAATTTTTGGCACTTTTTTTTTTTTTTGCACAAACTACAATTTTTTTGTCGGTTCTGTTTCATTCCAGTAAGGAGTTGATGAATCAGCCAGTATCCATGCCTTGCGGGCACAGTGCTTGTAAGACCTGCCTTCTGGAGATGATCTCCAAACAGAGCATTGGCTCGAGACCTTGCACCTGCCCGCTCTGTCGAGCAAGGATCGAAGGGGACAAGTTAAACGTTAACGTAACAGTTAGCGCTTTGATTGGAAGGATCCAGGTGCGTTGCACTAATGTCGGCTGCTCCTGGGTTGGAATGCATAGCGAGAAGGAAACGCACATGGACACTTGCCCCTTCATGGTTATTGACTGCCCCAATGGACCTCGTGGCTGCTTGGTTAAACCAGAGAGGTATGCGCTGAACCTGCACATAGCATCCTGCCCCTTTGAAAAAGTCCCTTGTTTTCATTGCCACATAGGAGTGGAGAGATCGACACTTGCTAGCCACGAGGACAACTGCCGAGAAATTCCACGGCCCTGCCCCCTTCAGTGTGGAGAACAGTTACCAAGGTAAGTTTGTTTGACAGCCGAGGCACTCGATGCATTTCTAGTTAAGGTTACCCAAAACTAGACAGTAAGACACACTTAAAAACGTAATTCGAGATCCGAAACTAACAGCAAATTTAAGTCGATGCATAAAGCGATAGAAAGTAATTGATAGAAACAGTTGAAACGGTTAAGCGATAGATCTGAATGGTTTACGGTCGAGTCGCCCGAAGTCATGTCGCCCGGAACCTGTGTCGTGTTGCCCGAAAAAAGTCGGCGGCCGTAGAATCAAATAATTTAAAAGATCAGATTTTCAGACTTTAATTAGACAATTAAACGAGAAATCTTTTTTATTAAAGCGCTATTGTTTCCGACAACACCATGAAGATTCTAAAACCATTGTTCGTTTCTAACAACAAAATGAAGCGGTTTTTTTTTTCACTCGTTTCGTACCACAGACTTTCTGTAAAAGCTTGAGAAACTTTATCTTTGTTTATGACATTGCCATGAAGACTTCGACTGCACAGAAATCGATCGTTTGTTCAGAACTGAGATATGTTTGAGTAACGATTCGGAAAGCGTTGTTCTTTTCTTACAACAAAAGGAAGCGTTGTTCGTTTCTATAGAAACAAAATGCAGCACACAGGCCTTTCGTACTCTGTTGATTCGTACCCAGTGGGAATCGTTTCGTTCCCAACCCGCTAGTAGATTGGCACTCAGCTGTTCAGAAACGTCGCTTACTTCACTCAACCTAAGATTGCGAATTATTAAAGCGTTAAACCAGAGAGAACTATCGATCCCTGATAACCGTAGTTTTAAACTAGCGAGAAAAATCGTTAAGTAGTTCTAAAGTGAACTGAGTCCTACACCGAAAGGGAAATGATACTATCAGACTACTATTGTTAAAAAAAAAACAGTCACAAGCTTAAACAATAGAATATTGTTAAAAAAAAAACCACACTTACCTTACGCAAGGTAGTAAGTTATTTGTTACGAAGTTCGCAAATAGATACAGCAGAACTTTATTTGCATGTTACTCGCTTGACTTTTTACTAAATCGTAGCACACGATAATCGAAATTTATTTATTACGGTTTGGAGCAGCTTACGCAACGTCCATGTGCTTTATTTTTTGTTATAGAAACGAAATACGCTTCCCTTTGTTGTTAGAAAGGAACAAAGCTTTTAGGTTCGCTTCTCAAACATATTTTAATTCTGACTATATGATAGATTTCTTTGTAGTCGAGGTCTTCTTTGTTTAGTCTGTAAGGTTTTTTTTTCGGGTGACGATTGCATTATTTGACAACACAACTCAAGTTCCTGGTCATTTCTTTGTTTACTTCTTCTGGAATTTGATGTGTTATCAAATAAAAATCCGCGCGATGATGATTTTATTGTGGTGCATCGCTTGTCTGTGAATGTATGAACACTAGGAAAAGGATTACTACCCAATCTTGTAACTGTAATGGCTTGATATTTAGTTGAGCAGACTGTTTGTACAAAGTCTTTATTGATGCATTTAACTCATTTGTTCATGTTTACAGATCGCACATCCACCTGCACCTTGGCGATTGTCCACAACGTGTGGTAAAATGTACAGTAAAGGGGTGCCACAATTTTTACGCGCTTGAAGAGGAGGCCGAACACGATAAACAGTACCAAGAAAGTCACCAGGTGCTGCTGAAGCAAGAGGTGGAGAGGCTAAGAGGAATAATATTTGATCAGGTGGGTGACGTTCGTCCGAGTTTACCTTGATATAGTGTAACAGTTATAGTTTCAGTTTATTCTTCTGTATCATGGCTGCCGCTCTTTTTTCCTCAATGGTCTACATGGCAGAATTCTAAATTTTTAAGAAGATCTTGTTGTTTCTGTTGCTGCAGCAAACGAAGAGTGTTACGATTTACCTGGTGTGATAAACGTTGCCAATGGTTACGTTTCCGAATTCTGTCAATTGTAAAGCTTGCGAAAGGCAGTATAGTCAGTGCAGTTGTCAATTTCACTGCTTAGTTGCAGTGGCTTGCGCGCTATTGTTTACAGAGGCGGAGTTTTGCATATATTAATACACTCGCGGGAGTTTTAAAAATCGGTCAACCGTGCTTCTCGACGTAAAATTTAGGGTGGCCAAAGGTTGCTTCAAAAAAAATCGGTTTTGATGGTACTTCTAAGCCTCGTACGGCAGAGAAAATTTTCACAAGCCCTCCTGAGAAATGGAAGTAACTTTTCCATATGCTGACTCTGAAGTTTCGCGAATACTTCATCGGATTTTTCAACTTGGAGATCAGCTTCCATACTCAAATGCATCTAAAATTTCTAATTTTCAAAGCAGTTTCGATAATGGTTATAGAAACCGCAGAAAACAAACTTTAGTATTAATTTGTTCATTGAAACCTCTTCTACAAAACCCATATGCCGGCAAATAGCTAAGGCAATTAGTTTTTTATCAAGAGTGAAAAACGCAGGCGCAAGTGGGCGATTTATAGCCATTTTCTCTATTTTTTCGCTCTCTTTTCTTGGAGGACGGTTCAAATTTACCGCAGATGCAATTAAAAGGTACCTGGGTGGGTCGCGGCTTCTGCGCGATGAGTACGCGGAGCGTTTTGAGGAGACATTTGACTGTATACTGACTTATACCTTGCTGAATTTTTTTAGGCTGATGAAACAGTACACAAAGTTTTAAAAATAAGAAAGAGTTTTCGTTGGGCCGTTAAAATGTCCGACCTGGCTGATGGCAAAGATGCCGCAAGTCCCTTCTTCAACGTAGAAAGAAGTACGTTGAGATTCATTTGGGCGAGAAATTCGACTCCTCAGAAGTTTATGTTGGAGCAGCTGGTCTCATCGATGCCACTCACGATCAGTTTAAGGTAGGGACAGGTTAATGTTGGTGAAGGCTTAGGCCACATTTGATGTAAGTAAAAAAATAGAACTCATCCATTTCCAAAAAAAAACTCCGTTTCACGATCTAGATTCGATGTTGTCTGTTAGCGGTACTTTTCTCTCTTGCGATTGGCTATCGATAGCGGCTTTTCTTTTTTTTTTTTTTTTCATAATTGATAGCAAACTAAATGGCATTACGAGCCAGTTGCACTTTAGCTGTGGCAAGCTTAATAAGTTGAGGAATATTTCAAAAATTAATCAGAGCTGATTCAACAGTTCCTTACTTTATTTTTTTTTTCAGAATTGCATTACTTAAAGATGAGCGGGTGCAGAAAGTGGTTGAAACACCCCGTCCAACGCTTGTAGACGAAGGGGGTGTTGTCAGTATGGACGTCGACTTCGGACAGCACCCGAATGACCAGGATTTGGAATTTAAAATAACAGACATTATACACGAAATAGTTCAATGAATCGTATACAGTCAAAATAAGTTTCGTTGGATTTGACCTCTATCAACTAGGTAGTCTATACTAGGGTGAAAACTTATCTCATGAAAAAGTAGTGGAACATCTTACAATTAGCAAGGTTGTAAATCTATTCACTACAATATTGGAATTTCCAAAAAAGACAACTCTTACAAAACAGATAGACACACTCTGATTACTGTATTATGTTTTCTACTACTGAAATTTACAGACCTCGCTGATGATTTACATAAAAGCCTTTGTCTTCGTACATGAAAGTTAATGACATATTCCCCTTAGCTTAAGACAAAGCAGTAATGAAAACTGTCTCCTACATTACTTTAATTTTTTTTTCCCAGCGAAGTGTGTTACGAACAAAAACGAAGCACAAAAAGTGGTCTTAACTCTCCCTAAAAGTTACTTCTAAAACAGCATGATCTTATACAGGGAACTGTGTAATATCAGTTACACTTAAAATGTATATGTTAAACTCCCCTCCTAGCTGTTTGATTATATATACTACAGACTGAATGAATGTTTCCGGACCACTGCCCTCGCCTTGTTATTAAGATATAATCTTGTCCCTAAGACAAGTCCTTTATTTGTCTTCTGCAGATGTTCTGGTGTAAAAGAAAACGAGTTTTAATATTTTAAGCCCACTTCCATCCCTGTAATTCATAACTAGTCTTATCTTGGCTAAACCTAGTTACTCTTTGAATAATTACTATTGTTAAGGTTTAGAATAACAAAGAAGGCCATTCAGAGAATAAGTAGAATCTCCAATGTTTTACATTCGATGGTTGAACTCAAAATTAATTAATTGATTTTGGTTTGGCGTAATAGTACAAAATAATGTGAACAAGTTTATTCCAGTATCTGTATACGATGGTTAAAAGCGTCACAAACAACAATTTGGCCATTGGTGAGAACTGCTAAAGAGGTTGGACTATCGAACTCTCCTAAATTGCCGCCCTTTTTTCCAAACTTGCTGAGAAACTTTCCATTCAGCTCAAATACTTGTATTCTGTGGTTATTTTCGTCACAGACCACCAAGTGACCTGATTTGTTCACCAACAAACCACTGGGACTATTTAACTCCCCGTCCCCTCCACCCTCCTTTCCAAACTTGTACTGAAAGTTTCCTTTTCTGTCAAACACTTTGATACAATGTTCACCATAGTCTGACACTATGAGATATCTTTCATACTGAATACAGTGGACAGGAATAGTAAAATAGCCCTGCTCTCCTATCTTCGTTAGAAAATTGCCATCAGGAGAAAATATCTTAATCAGCCTGTCACCTGAATCAGTGACAATGATATTCCCATCACTGTCTACCGATAAACCACAGGGACTAAGGAGCTGACTATCAAGGCTTCCTCTCCCACCAAAGGATCCCACGTACTCACCCTTCCCTTTGAAAATTTGGATTCTACTGTTCCCATAGTCTGCCACGAAAATATTCCCATTATCATGATATGTTATTCCGGTAGGAAATTTAAATTCTACTCCTTCGGTACTAAACGATCTTAAGTAATTTCCTTCACTGTTAAAAATTTGGACTCTGTGGTTGTTATGATCAGTTATAGCTATCTCATCTTTGGCACTTACTGCTACCCCCCAAGGAAGCCTAAACATTCCCTCAGACGAGCCCTCTTCCCCGAAGGAAAGTACAGGTTTAAACTGAAATGGTGTTACCTGCACAGCAAAAGGACTGTCACGGACATGTTCCCCATTTACCTTTACAGTCACTAGACATTTTCCTGGATCTCTGGGACAATATCTGACTTGATAGAGTCCATCTTTACAGTCATTTATTTGTATTTCTGACGTGCATTCTCGTCCCTGTTCGTCCCTGATCTCCACCGTTACATGGTCACGTTCATCGTAACACTGTCTTCCTTCGGTGTCCTTTGTTGTCAAGGTAAAGTGAGCTTCACGGAGAGCAATTCCTTCCTCCAGTCCTTTGCCTTCAATATCACAATGACCTGCTTTTGTTGGTTTTTTCAAAGTTCCAATTTGTTTGGTTTTGAGTGTTAAATAACTTATAATTTTCCACGAAGACAAAATGAGCCACAAGTTCGGGGTCACAGTCGGTTGGCTCGATTTGATGAACTCCTTCAAAGATGGTGTCTGATGATTTCTTGAGTTGAACGATTTCAGCGTTTGTACTTCGGGTTAAAAGTTTGTCAGCCTTCTCCAGAGATGATTTTATGGCCGTCATTTGACGCTCGATCTCGGTCTTTCGCCTTGTTATGCTTTCAATCGACTTATTTGTTTCTTTTTCCACCTCTGCGAATATGTTTTTCTTGTTTGCTTCAATGGCTGCAATTAAATTGTCAACAAATGTTTGAATCTCTCTCTTCACATCTTCGCCTTGTTGTATCAGTGTGGCACAGTCTTCATCAAGTCGGCTCACGACATTCATCTTTGCTTGTAAATTGTGTCGCTGTTTTTCAATGAAAGACTTCATTTCAGTCTTTTGTGTCTCCGCTTCTTCTTTGATTAACTTCATATTATGACCTCCATGATCCAATGTGACACAAATTTGGCAAAGTGGCATTTCACAGTCTTTGCAAAAGTACTTTAGCTCTTCTTTGTTATGATCTTCCTTAGGACAGAAAGCAGGTCGTTTCATCACATCTTCATAGTCCTTGTCTTGAAAGTCTTTGAGCGCCAGAACACGATGATCTTTATTGCTGCGAATGATGTTGTGTCCAATGATGCACTCGTCACACCAAAACACGCAACAGTGAAAACAATAGGAACTCTCGGCGCTTTTCTTGTCGCAATTTCCACATCGTACTTGGCTGGTTTTGCACTCTTTAATTGCTAGCACATCAATCAAGCCGTTCAGGTAAAAACTGGTCGGAAGATCTGTCAAATCGCCACTTTCAGGCACTCTGCTAATAGCTTGACACTTCGGGCATCTGATTGTGTCTCGGCCATGGCTTGTTGTGTGCCAGTGTTTCAAACACTGCAGACAAAACGTGTGTAGACATGGAAGGTGCTTTGGATCGGTGTACACGTTAGTACACACTGGGCACGAAACTTCCTCGCGAAGATTGCGAAGTAACGTTTTGATATCCATGTGTTTTCTACTAAGAACTGATCATACGCTCGAGCAAATAGCTTTTCTCGGAATTGAACTCGAAACAATGAGGCCTCGTGACTCTATTTTTTTAAGCTATTTTTGGAATAGATTATAGATATGTATAAACCAATCAGAGAACTTTCTTAGCTATTTTATGGAATAGATTATAGATATGTATAAACCAATCAGAGAACTTTCTTAATATAAGACACACTTTAACCAAGGATTCCTTGCGTTCCTGGCTCTCTGAAATGTAAAAGTGACTTGTCCGCCGTTCTTCGGCACGAAGATGTCACGAAAAACGAGAAGATCACTGGAAGGACACAACAAATGGACACCTCACCAAGGAGGGATTGAAGAGTCTCAGTTAGCATTCTCCCGGGAAAGTTTCCTCTGTCCTTTATTGACGGTAGATTTGATTGTGCTACCGTCTTAAATAAATTATATTTTTAAACCTGAATCTATAGCATAATAAGGGAAAGAAACTCGTAGACACACCTCGCACGGTCCCACTCGTGACCTGATCAGACTTGCACACACCCACCGAGAGTGACGTCACACATCCATCATGTCAATGATTTTTAACTTTTAAGATCATTTTTTGATAATTTAACGATAACGTTTCACCACTAGAGGTTTCGTACAAAGAGCCGACTGCTTATTCACAATAAAATGCTACTAATATTCTCCTTTGAAAGGGTGAAAACGTTCTAAAGGAAATTTGTATGACTCGCATGCTGTTTTTTGTCCGGCTGGAACATGTTACAAAAAACTTGATAATAAGTGAAGAAATTTGTGGACTTCATCTGCGAAAGAGAGGAGAAGCCCTGAGTTGACAGCGGCAATATAATGACTTTAAAAAGAGTCATTGCAAAATGGTTGCACTTTTTAAATAAGAGATTGCTTATTTGGGTGGAAGCATCATCCTGGAAAAGTCTTTACTGTTCTATAAACGCGGTACCTTTCGGAGCTGCGGTCTCGGTAAATAGAAAATGTTTTAAAAGCTTTTAGAACTTAGATCAGTAGCCCGAGAAACGGGAGGAAGAAACACACAACACGCCTCGCGTGGCTCCCCGCGTGACCTGATCAATTACGTGGACTATCCCGCACTTTGGTGTCAATGTCCTCTCACAGGATCTGAATTTAAAGTCTCGTAAAACCCAAATCTGCTTCAAGAATTTCGCGAAAGCCATTACGAATTTTGAAGTATTTAACGTGCGATTACAGAAGGGAAGATGTTGGGTAAAATATGCTATGCAGAGAGATCCTCTGTCCAGAAAATAACATCCCTTCCATGTCATAAGCTGCATTCCTTTTCTGCCCTGATAAATGCTACGTACTATCAACTATCATTGCCAACATGATGTCATAATGGCCATATCGCTTTGCAAAACAGTGAATTGGTGGCCACATTGATGTTCAAGTGTTTGAACTCTTCTCTTGTGTCTACAGTTTCTTTTGCTCCGATAAATTTATATACCTGCTCAACTCTTGACTTCTTATAGGTCAGTGGTCGTACCCCATATTGAAATGCGGCAACAAAATCTCTCTCATAATTCAACTTGTCGAGTACCCGCCCTCTCATACACAGTGAAAGCTCTTATTTCAAACGAGGTGTTGCCCTCCCCTTGCTAGAAATGAAAAGTATCCTTGTTTTTAGCACAGTTTAATCAGAAATTAGAACTTTCAAGCACGTGGTGTGCAAACTCTAGCAAAACTCTTGTTTTGAAGTTAGACTTCATTTATTCATTTTCCAAGATACATCAAATATTCCAAACTTTTCTCTTCAAGGTAACTGATGGTGAAAAGCTCATCTTTCATTGATTATTAACCATTATCTTAAATCAAAGTCAAATAATGTGAGTCAGCTCTGACAACCTATAGCTCCTTTAATAACACAAAAGTTGCAAGAATGGAAAATAACACATGAAGTCTTGAGATACTTAACTCTTTCGTGTACAACAGCCTACTTCAAGTTAGATTCGACCTCTATCAAGTAGGTCGCCCAGGCTGTGGTGCAAAATTCTGGTATGAAAACTACAAGAACACGTTTTTCTAATTTAAATACGATACAGTTGGAAAAGAATAGAAAGAGAATTACATGACTACAAAACTGATTAATATAGTCTGATTGATAAAGGTAATTGAACTAAGTGGAGTGCAATTTGGTCTGAAGTGATGCGCGTGATTTCAAAATGAATGCGAAGCGCGAGTTTGATTTGAAGTCACAAGTATGATTCCAGACCAAAATTGCACGAAATCAAGTTCAATTATTAATTTATTGCATCCATTTTGAAATTGCAAAATTCAGTTGCTAAAATACAGGATTTTTAAGTCTGGACTAGTATTTTATTGATCCGGTATTGAGCTGGTTTTAATTTATAAATAAACAAAGTCTTTCATTTTCCTGCAATGTGATTGGTTCCTTTAAACAAGCCTTGAAATCTGATAGGTTGTTATGTTTTAGTAAAACTGTCTCATTAGCTGGAAAAAAAGTGCTATTTAGAGCATAAAGTGGTGCAATTCGTGAATAACTTGCACCAATGAGAGCCAATAAGATTAAAAGGGTCACCAGTGATTTCAAAATGAATATGAGGTTTGTTAAACATTAGACTCTCCTCAAGACTTTGTACATTTACCAAAAGCCTTTAGCTGGTTATGTAATAGTTATTGACATATTCCTCAATAGATAAAGTTGAACCGTAAATTTTCCCCCGCGTCACTTTTCTTTTTCGTTTATGTTTATTGTTTGATAAGTGATGCCACTAATAGAAATAACTCTCTCAGCCCTCTACCCTCCCCCTGTGATTAATGAATAGTCTCGTTTCGGCCATTCCAAATTGATTTTGGGTTTTTGTTTTTGTTTTTTTTTTTTTTTTTTAACACTGCAGGTGTTCAGACTGAAAGGAAAACAATATAAGATTTCATCTCTGGCCTAATTTCCTTCCACCCGTATATTATAACTTGTCTTATCTTGGCTCATTGAAAATTGTTCATCGAAGTGGAGGTTGATATCCAACACTTTCACCGGCACTGAGGTGAACTTCTTTCGGTTTATACCACACACAGAACCCACAAAAAAGTGTTTATCTCTGTCAATATAGCGAAACATTGTCGGAAATTAAACTCTTGAACATGATTCATTTGGAAGAATTAATTAGTTGTTTTGACGGCAGGTTTGTGAATAAAGAAATCACAGAACTTTCATGATACAAGAAACACTTTAATCAAAGATTCCTTGGATTCCTGGTTATCTGAAAAATAAAACTGACTTGTCCGCCGTTCTTCAGCTGGAACTGTCACGAGAAACGAGAAGGTATTATTATCACAAGAAGGAGACACGATAGACTTCCACTGTGAAAAAGATTATTAGTCCTGGGTTTATGGCTGCCATGACACTTGAAGAGTCAATGCATCTATACACCCAGAAACCTGTTTAAGAGAAAAGGAAAGCCTAAAATAAATCTGACAAAGAGAGTGAAGAAAGATGACTTGACCCCGTTACAGACGTTTATTCAGGTTTTGACGCAAGGGGGAAATTTGAGACTGAATATGAGCTGGCACCTATAGAACGATTCCTTGTATTCCTAGTTCTCAGGAATGTGAAACTGACCCGCTCACCATTCTTTACTCGGCTGGAACATGTCACGAAAAACTTGAAGAAATTTTTAAAGATCACTTAGAAGAGATAACCGTGGACTTTTAATTTCACGAATTCTACGAAAGAGAAGAGAAGCCCTGGGTTTATGGTTGGGATGACTCTTGAAGAGACTTCGTAGTCGTAAACCAAGCCATTTGTTAAAGGAAAGCTTAAAATAAATCTTACAAAGAGAGGAAAAAAAGATAACTTGTCCTTCTTCCAGACGTTTATTCTTGTCTTTCACAAAGAGAAATCTGCTGACACTGAACATGTAATTTGTGATAATCGGTATTGACACAAATTAATATTTTGCCGACACGGAACGGAGAGAACTGGGTGCGAGCGTAGTACGCGAAGGCTCATGGGTAGTATGTTTGTAAGAAGAGACCGTTGAGAAACTTGTGGCATTCTACGGTCAGCCTTGCCACTAGCACTTTCCCATAAGGTTTATTTTTTGTCTTCATCACTTTTCCTTGCCTAGTTATGGACGAAGCAGGCGTCAGGAAAGTAATCGCCGAAAACAACAGAGATCTTATCGTTCAGATCAAAGATCTCGTAAATACTTCGATTTCTGACCTCAAGCGTTCTAACGAATCTATCGCTTCCCAGCAGATGTCAGAAATTAAAAGGTTGAAACGCGATTCCGTTCCTCACTTCAACAAAAAGAGCAACGAGGAGCAGTACAAAGCTAACAAAGCTATTAAAGATGCTGTTGAAGACGCCCAGATTGCCCTCGAAAGGAACGACGTCGAGAAGATCAAACAAGCCTTGGATAAAGGTATGGAGCTGCTTCAAGAGCGTCAAAAATTAATTTTACTGGCTGATAAATCACAGTACGGGTGGAAGACGGTTCTGGAATACAAGCACCATGATCTCGCAGACGACGAAGAAGATGAGAAAAAGATATACAGGGCCGAATCCAGAGCAGCTAGGTCCACGAAGCGTTTCACATCTCGCTCGACCCGGCAAAGAAGTAATGTTACATCGACTTCAACAACTCCGCAGTTTTCCGCCTCACAGCTGCCCAATTTGTTTTCGCGTGTAAACCCGCAGCTTTCGTCTCAGAGATCGTCTTCTGGTTTGTGCTTTGCTTGTGGCAAACCCGGGCATTGGAGGGCTTTCTGCCCTAATTTACGGTTTGATGTTCCTTCTAATACCGGTCAGAAGCCCAAATGACTCACTTCGGACGTCGATTTGGAACAAGGCCTTGTTCATGAGGATAGCGATGAATTAATTTTTCTTCGTGTCAATGGAAATTCTTTCGAGGTTAAATCCGGCGATGATTATTCGTCCGTTAAAGGACGGCTACGTGGAGCCCTCGCTTTCTGGAACGACATTCACGCCCCTCAATTTATCC